TCGTCGTCGTCGTCTCGTTCGTTCTTCTTCTTCTCTCTCTCTCTCTCTCTCTCTCTCTCTCTCTCTCTCTCTCTCTCTCTCTCTCCCCTTTCTCTATGTTTCGCGCGCTCGATACGTTTCCCTTTTCCTATTTTTGCCGTTCATTAAATGGTCGTTATGGCCATTTCCTTTCTCTTATTATTTTCATCGCGCGCATGTGGACCACACACTAACTTTTCTCACCGTGGGCTTTAAAATGCAGCCGGTGCGACGGCACAACCGTCGCGCTCGCTATCTTTGCTCACGCGCCTGCAGCGGATTTATTCGCGAACTGCTGCACGCAGTTTGAAACTGTGCTAAGCTCGTATATCACGGAGGTGCTAATATCTGAAATGTGCGCAATCTAGCGCCACACGAGTTACGAGCCAGGCACTTTAACAATTGGATTAAATATGGAAACTGATGGCCCCGAACATGGTATTTTTTTTTTCTAAAGTCTTGTGATGGAAAAGCTTGATTCTATAATACCTAACAACGCGCGGCTGTAGAATTTAAAAGAGTAATTTTCTGTGTGTAAATAAGATAGAAATATTTTTTTATGAATAATGAAAAGTTTGTTTTCTCTTTCTCCTAGAATGTTTCTTTAAGTAAATGATGGCTTATGGAAATGCAGATTTCATACCTCGCGGTCGAAAGAATCCTCGTATTAATTGCTTGACGTACGTCTGAATTTACGAAGGTCTCTTTTTATTTCGACGGCGAAATGATTGATGACGCAAAACGCTTTCTCCGCACGATTAACGTGCCCGCAAACGTGAATTAATTAATTTGCTATCCGCGAAGTATTTTGAGGAGAACGCAGGTATCCCACGTATTTCTATATTTCCTCGGGCTGACTCTCGTAGCAAACCGCAAAGCGTCAGACACAGGCACAAATCGTCGTTTTCCCAGGACGAATCGATCGTTGACCTAAACCGGTCTTTCCGAACGAGCCTCGCGAGAGAAAGGAAGATCGGGATATATGTCATCCGTAGACGCGGACTTTCAGAGACGGCGGATTTGTTCACACGATAAGAAAACGACTCGATCCGACGATATGTTAATCGGAAGAAAGTTATCGGCGCGTTTTTTTTTTTAAATTACCAATCTCACTTGATTAATTTAAAAGTGTTTCGTCGCTGGAAAATCGACGATCGTGAAAGAAAGGCAATCGTAATTACAACGCGCTCGTTGTAAGTTACATGGTAGATTGCGGCGTAATGAGCCGACTCTCGGGGATCAATTATCAAATCTAATCACTATACATTTTCTGAAGCACTCATTTGTAACGCTAATGCGTTTCGTCTTACGAGTCCATTCACGCTCTACTATACGTTATGTCGAAAAGGTATTGTACGTACATAGATGGAAGAAGCGCTCGCCATTACAACGCTCAATGCGTCAGGATATATATCTTACTAAGCTGACCGTACTATATCAAGTGTACGTGATCCGTTCGCATTGACGTATTATTTGAAAGGAGAAGTCAAAATAAAACATAAATAAAATGAAGATACATACAAATTGAATTATTTAATGAATTATTTTTAGAATATACTGGCTCATTTTTCCAAAACGTAATTTAATCGCAATGTCATTATAATCAATATGATATAATATGAAAGACGGAAAGTCCATAGGCGTAGATATTCTAATGAGATATTCTAATATCATTGAAACTCATGCGTATAAAATTAAAAAAAAGCAGATGTTTGCATTTAAAATTAAATGGATTTTTGTGTATCTTTTGAAAAAGTAATTTTTTTATCACGCTTTATTGCATATTGTAACCGCTTTTATGTTATAAAACATTTTGGACTTTAGTTCAATTTGCTGTTGACACAATATATATTGAACCGATTGAACCGTATGCGTAAAAAATAATTTAGCAAGCAATTTTTTATTTTAATTTTGCAGCGAACGTTTTGCAGATTTTCTCAATCTTTTTACGGGGATGGTGGAAACATTTATCTTCGACATTCATAGATTCGATAGGGAAAAAATTCATTACTTATACAATCACTGCAGTCGATTAAATGCTAACTTGACACTGAATAATAGGAAATCTTAGTTCAAGTCAGATCGAGACAAATGTGTCTGCAGGAAGTCATGATCGATACGAATGGGAGCAATTAATCGAGAATTAAGAACAGAAAAATTAGAACCTAAGAGATCGAGCGCCGATCGATTCCAACTTGTCCAAGTGGAACTTCTGCCCATATTAAATTTTTGAGACGTGCAAAAGCGCTCGCTGTTACCGCAGCTGCGCTTGCTTTAAATTCATAAGTACCGGCGCATAATTC